TATAAAGACCAATAGGTATCACTTTACAATAAGACCTCATTAGTTAACCTTAGTTAATGCATTAACATTCACAATGAGCAATAGCTACATTTGCTACAGAAGTTATTAATTATTAGTTATTAAGTCTTAGTTCATGTTAGCTCATTAAATAACACAGTTGCAACTTTCAATTTTAACAAAGTGTTATTAAATATTGGAATACCTAAGATTAATGAATGTTCAGAAGAATTGTTCATTGGCAGTTTATGTTAACTAATGAATTAACTAATGTTAACTAATGAAGCCCTAATGTAAAGTGTGACCGAACAATAAAGAATCAAAACACTTTCAAACAATATCTAGGGCATGTTGTAGTCCAGATTAAAATGTAAAAAAGTTTGAAAATAAATAGCCTAATAAGTCTAAATATTTAAGTATTTGGCGCTGTGATGAACATCATAGCAAATACACAAATCTGAAAGGCTGTTTAAATCATTTAAACACGATTCAGAAACAGAAAGTAGTGCAGCTGTATTATTTACAGGGTTTCCGGGGTAACGGCTGCATTTAAATGAATTATTATTATTATTATTATTATTTCTGCAGTTTAGCGCCATCTGCTGTCAGAGAGTGAAAGTGCGCTCAGAACGTCTCTCACATGTTCCGCCATGTGCATCACGTCCGGGCTTGTTTACCTCAGAGTGCGCAAGCGTCTTTCATGCAGCATACAGTGGTGTTGTGCATTTTGACCAGTTGATGGGAAAAGTATTCTTAAAGCATCATGGCAGAGCATTGAAGTCGACTAGTCGATTAGTCGGTGCAACCCCTAGTATTTTGTGTGGACAGCAGCAGCATCCTCATGGACTAGATTAGCCAGTTCTTGCTGTGAGATGTTACTGTGCTCTTCCACCAAGGCACTTGCCAGTTCCTGGACATTTCTGGGTGACACATACATAGATGCATGTGGTTTGCCACTTCAAGGTTGATCAGCTGTCGTTCCTGTCTTCCTGTAGCACTGTGTAACACACAGTGCCGGTGTCCTGCCGAGTTTAGCTCCAACTTGCCTCAACACACCTGGTGGGAAGTTTTTAGTATGCCTAGTAAGAGCTTGATTAGCTGGTTCAGGTGTGTTTAATTGAGGTTGGAGCTAAACTCTGCAGGACACCGACCCTCCAGGACCGAGTTTGGGCACCCCTGGTCTAACATGTCTTACGTTACCGACATTGCAGTTTATTGCTCTGGCCACATCTGCAGTCCTCATGCTTCTCTGCTGCAGGACTATGGCTTGTTCATACAGGTGATCAGGAACACTGGGCATCTTCTGATGTTTTTCAGAGTCACTAAAATAAAAGGGCTCTTTAATGTTATTATAACTGTGACGTTTAATTCTGCCCGTAAACCTTTAGTGACTTAAAGGGATAGTTCATATCAAAAATGAAAATTCGGTCATTAATTACTCACCCTCATGTCGTTCCAAACCCGTAAGGCCTTCGTTCATCTTCGGAACACAAATTAAGATATTTTTGGTGAAATCCGAGAGCTTTTTGTCCCTGCATAGACGGCATGCCATAGACGCCTTGTAATAGGAAAGCATGTGCATCCGTTGTGGTACTCTACATAATGGCAGATGATGTTATTTTTGTTTTCTTTGCACACAAAAAGTATTCTTGTAGCTTCATAAAATTACAGTTGAGCCACTGATGTCACATGGACTGTTTTAATGATGTCCTCCTTACTATATTTCTGAGCCTGGGAACATTTCAGTTGATTTGCTGTCTATGGGAGGGTCAGAAAGCTCTCGGCTTTAATAAAAAAAATCTTAATTTGTGTTCTGAAGATGAACGAAGGTCTTACAGATTTGGAACAACATGAGGGTGAGTAATTAATGACAGAATTTAAATTTTTGGGTGAACTATCCCTTGAAGTTAAATTCCACAGGTGCATGCACATTAATTGTTTATGGTTCATTGAACAAACATAAAAACATTATCCAAACCCTTTTCAATAAATTAAAATAAATCTGTAAAACTTATTTGGACTTTTAACAAATTATCTTTAAAATACAGCATTCTGAAAAAGGGATGTTTATATATAGCTATTTTTGCACATTTTCTTTATAAAGATACATTCTTCCCACAGCTAAATTATATTTAGAAGTTAAATATAATATATAGATATATAAATATGTAGGGTAAACATACCCATTAAGCTCACCAAAATCTACGTTGAGACATTTTTAGTGTACAAGATATTGGTTTCAGTACAAAAAGTTATGTTAAAATATTAATCTCTCACACAAAAATATTAAATTTTATTTTAAATGACAAAAGCATTTCAATGAAGATATACATCATTAAATGCAAAAAGTCTGGCGAGAGACATAATGCAGATATAATGGAGCCAGCAGTCAGTGTATACACCACTGAATGTCCTTGGTATGACTGCATGCCTTTTCCTGACTGTTAGAAATGATTCACCCACCCCTCCTCTTCTCTCCCCGCTCTGATTGGCTTGATCTCCCCCGTCACACCTTCTTCCCATGCTGCATTAGCCAATCAGATCCACCGCTCCCGTTGAAAGCGTGTGTGATTGGCTGGCTGACCTGTGATGCTGCTGCCTCTCTTTAAGAAGCAGTCTAGACTGCAGTGACAGGTTTTTCAGTGAGAATCGAGCTGCTGTTGTCCTGCAACACGTCTGACTTTCATCTGGCAATTCCTTGTACTACATTTTACAGAACATTGTGATCTTTTCTTTGTCTGAATCCATTCACCGGTCTCATTGCTCCTCTTTCACTGTCATAAGTCAGCACATCAGCTGGGCATTTTCCCATCATTTCATTCATGATTCCTCACGTTTAATCTGCTCATCTCCCATTTTTCCAAATTTTTTCCGACCCCACTTTACAAAAAAGAGGGAAATATCTGAGCACTGCATAGCCTGAAGGTGAGTACACTTGATTAGAGTTTAGAGTGCTGCAGTCATTACAGATGCATTTTACTGCACTCTCTCCTTTCTTCTTGTGTCGTGTCTAATGCAACAGGTTCTGTATGTACCTCATATATTGGACAGGGCATGTCATTGTCAAGGGGAATGCTTTGTAAAAACTTGCCAGAATACATAATATTATTATCATTATGCATAAAAGGACCCCACACATCTCTCTTCCTGTGTTTCACAATCAAAGTATCAGCTGAATGCTTTTAATATTCAGATTAGTTAGTATTATGATGATATTCTTCTCCCAGTGCTTGTTCTGTGCCTTAGGGGTTTATAGTGTTGAATATCCCATAGTGTCATAACTTGAATTTTATGGAAATTTTTGTTACATCCATGTAAAGCTGTTAAATGCGTAATGAACATTTGAGCCTTTCGCACCCTACGGTGTATGAAGTGTATCCTTGGCAATTTAAGTTTGTGTATATGTTTTATGTTGTTGCTGTTTTTTGTATGGGCCCTTAAAGGGACAGTTCACCCAAAAATATACATTGTCATCATTTACTCACCCTTATGTTGGTTGAAATCTGTATGACTGACTTTCTTCTGTGGAACTCGATTGGGTTTCAGTGGTAACCAACAATAATGCAGATTATTGTTGATATCAGTTTAATCTATTTGAATAAGGTGATTGTTTTCTCCTAACAGGAATCAGTTGAACAATAGTATGAAAAATGGGCTTTGACAAGAGCTGTCAGCAAATGAATCGCTAAAGCTGTTACACGGATTGCTAAAGAGCTGAAGGGCCAAAAACCAATAGACCTCAAGTTTCCGAGAGCAGCAGAAGCGTCTAATTTCATCCAAATTGTCTCAGCTTATCGCCCTGTCCTGATGTCACATGGCTGTACCAGTATTTTGGCCTTGCGTCAGTTTTCCCAAAATGTGTCGTAACCATTATTAGTTCTCAAAGGCAGACCTCTTTAAAATCCAGTGCTGCTATTTAGTATGCATGAGACATTTATATCTCAAAAGTGCTTTCTTTCCCGAAAAACCAACAGGCATTGCTTGAATGTGTTATAACATCTCCTTAAGAAGTTGATCGACGTGTGTGTATATAAAACGTATACACTACCGTTCAAAAGTTGGGAGCCTGTCCAATTTTTTTTTATGGTTTTTGAAAGACATTTCTTATGCCTACCAAGGCTGCATTCATTTAACCAAAATACAGCAAAATAGTAACATTGTGAGATTCTTACAATTTAAAAGTACTATTTTAATGTATTTTAAAATGTAATTTATTCCCGTGATGGCAAATCTGAATTTTCTTTCTATTATCACTAGTTAAAGCAGTTGTACTGCTTAATTTTATTTTGCGGAAATCTTGACATTTTTTAAGGATTCTTTGATAAATTTAAAGTTTAAAATAACATTTATTTGAAATTATTTGTAACACTATTAATCTTTACTGACATTTGTCCTGGGTCTTAATGTTGTACTTGTCACACTCTTTACACAGGTAAAATGTCATTTCTGCACCAAGTTGAATTGCAAAAATAAGGACAGTTTCAGACATTATGCCCTCCTTTCTTTCACGTTTAAACCAAGGGTGACTTAAAACATAACCATGACTACTAAACAGACAATCCTTTTTGATAAAGTCAACAACCATGTGATGTTTGATACATGAGGTGTTGACGTTCACGTGACTCTTGCACACAATCAGTACCTTGAGCATGTATTAGTCTGACTTTCCCACTGTTTACATTTAATTCCCTTTAAACAACAGGCTTAGTGAAGTAGAAGAATGTGCCGTTGTCCCCCCTCCGAGTTGACTTCTGTATCACTGAGCAGTGATTTTCACCCTCTGCATTGCAGGTTTGGCCTGTGGTGAGGACGCTCTGTAATTTTACAGGTGATGGTTTTGACGTCACTATACAGTCATATACTGTGTCTTTGTAATGCTTTAAAGTCCATTCAGTCATCAGCTGTTGACTGATGCTCTAAATACCGTACTGTCCCAGTGTCCCCCCGTGGTGTGGGATCAGTCGTTCCGATAAACAGGACTGATCAGATTTCACCGAGCACATAGTGGCCCATTTACAGACCTGCCGTTTTCCAGTGAATTTGACCCACTAAGATTCTTAGAGTGGGGAAAGCAGGAAGCAAGGAGGCTGTAAGCGCGTATTAGGGGCTGCGACTCTGCAGTGTTGCACAGTGCAGCTGGAGCACGACTCGCTGTACTGCTTCGGCTCAGCGGGAGACTCAAACCTGAAACCAAGCCAAGAAGCCGGGAGGAGGTGTGAAGCAGGAGTGATTGTTTTGTGGTGCTTACTGCGCTGTTACATTCTGTTATGGATGTGCACTGGGTTAGTCACGTTGTGTCCTGGTCACTCCTGAACGCTTCGCCCTTGGTGTCATAGTGTAAGGTGGCCAGTTAATGTAAGTGCTCAAGTGTTTTTTGTCTATTTTGTGTAATGCTATTTGTTTATTTCAAACCTTTATTTTTTAAATCATTATATTGTGCACTTAAATTAAATAGAGCAACTTTTCATACTAGTTAAATTGTAACATACAAACAAATGTCTATATTCCACCTCCTAAAAATGCTGGTTTTGGCCTGTCTCACTTCAAAGTTCTTGTCATCTTTCCGACTCTATCCAACGATTAAAGTCATACAGTAATGTCATATTATCGTCATAATCTTACCATAATCTGTTGAAATATTCATTTCATTGAAGTCAAACAAATTTGTGATTATTAATCCTGTTACCACATGATTTTCCCCCCTTTTCCAAACAATGTAACATTCTACTACAGTTTTATTTGGACTCTTACAGCATGGCAGGAAGACGAGTTTGTTAAGGTGTCAAGTTTGTCATGTTCAACCTTCAAAATAAATATTTTTCTTAGTTTTTTGGAAAGTGACTACTAGCCAACATTTAGTTCTTAGTTAGCTAGCCCTTCCTGAGTGGCTAATCTTCAACCCTGTTGCTCATTTCTTGTTTATTATTATTTTTTTTTAAATTAAGAATGTTTGTGAATTGTTATTTTTTACTAGGACAAAGCACAGAAGCAGTGTTTTAAGATGTATTTAGATGTGTCCTAAAGGTTGAGTTCTTAAGATTTATAATAACCATTTATGAAGACTAAGCACCACCTTTTTTATACAACTTTATTTTGTGCTGTTTATGTGAAAAGTTATGTTTTTGTAAAAATTTACAAAAATATTTTTTTCTTAAATTTATAGAAAATGAATACAAACCTGCATATAGTTTTCAACCCTCTTACTCATTCAGCCATTTTTTTCCTTCATTTTTTAAATATGGATTTTTGTCATTTATTACTGATGTTTATTACTAGAAAAAAAACACAGGATCAGTGTTTTCAACAGTAGGCTTATTTAGATCCCAGTGTTTGATTTCTTGAAGATGATAATCAACATTGTCAGAAGGATAAGCACCTCCTTTTATTGACCATTTGTTGTTTTCTGTTGAGTTTCTAGCTCCCCAATCCTGTATTTTAATTATTTTATTTTCCCAGCTTTAATGTTCCTTGACGTCACCAACACCTGGCTCTCCAACTTTTCCATTTCCCATGGTCTTTTAGGCTACATTATGCAATCTATAAGGGAGGCTCAAATACTGTCTAATGATGTCCTTGTCTCTCTTGTTTTGACAGCTGAAGGCATCTTTGTGGACAGGACACTTAGAGGGCCAAACAATGGAATGCTCTCTCTTGCCTACACTGCTTAGCACTCTACAGACTGAGGTTAAACGGCTTAGTTAGCAGTGTGCCTCTCCCCCAAGAACTCTTTTAGCCTGGGGAAAGTTGGGAGAAAAAACGGGCGAAGGAGAATTTCCTTTATAGTACAGCACCTTACTCCAGTTCTTTGTAGTTGCTTGCTTGGGATTCATTTGGAAGCTTTGCGTGAACAAAAGCCAAAATGGATTTGGAACCGTACCTGTGGATGGTCGTGCTTGGCTTCATTATAGCCTTCATCCTGGCATTTTCAGTGGGGGCCAATGATGTGGCAAACTCGTTTGGGACGGCGGTCGGGTCAGGGGTGGTGACACTACGTCAGGCCTGCATCCTGGCTTCCATATTTGAGACCCTTGGCTCCATACTTCTCGGTGCCAAGGTCGGGGAAACCATTCGGAAGGGAATTATAGATGTCAGTTTATACAATGACACAGTGCCGATACTGATGGCGGGAGAGGTCAGCGCCATGGTCGGTAAGTAATGGCTCATTTAAAGTCGAAACCTCAATGTTTCATTTTGAAGATTAATGATGGAGAAGCTTAGCGAGGCATTCATTTATTCACTGTAGGCTGCCAGATTTGTAAAAGAGTATTTTAGCTGAAGTCTGAGTTAAAAAATTCACTTTTAGAGTAAAAAATGTAAATAAAAAAAAATTGAATTCAAAGAACTATGATGGTTTAAAAAAAAAAAAACTTTATGCAGTTGTTGTTGTTTTTAACATCACTGGGCTTTGAATGGCTACATTGTAATATTTTTAATAGTGTCCCGTCTAGAGTCTGCATTGAAAACAGAAGGGAAGGGAACATATGGCTGGAAGACTTTTTTTTGGTTGCTCCACCTCCCACTCATATTCCTGTCTTTTTCAGGGTCTGCGGTTTGGCAGCTCATTGCCTCTTTTCTGAAGTTGCCCATTTCTGGAACTCATTGCATTGTGGGATCTACTATTGGCTTCTCCATGGTTGCTATTGGCACTAAAGGAGTGCAGTGGATGCAGTTAGTCAAAATTGGTAAGAAAAAAAATCCATTATGCGATTCATTATTTATTTTACTGTGGTAGTTATTTGCTCACCAGAAAATTGGAAAACTTTTTTTAAACGCTTTGAAGCTAAAGGTCAGCCTTCTACTGAATGTTTCTGTTTAATTTATTTTTAATGTCCTGTGTCCTAATTAATGTTCCACTACTGTTCAAAAGTTTGGCATCAGTAAGAGAGAGAAATTCTTTTATTCAGCAAGGGTGCATTAAATGGATCAAAAGTGATAGTAAGGGCAGGTATAATGTTGCGAAAGACTTTCAATTAAAAATACTGTTATTTTGAGCTATATATTCATCAAAACAATCCTGAAAAAATTGTCAAACATATTAAGCAACAAAACAGTTTTCAACACTGATAATAAATGTTTCTTGAATACCAAATCAGCTTATTAGAATAATTTCTGGAGGATCATGTGACACTGAAGACTGAAAATTCAGCTTTGCCATCAAAGGAATAAATTGCATTTTAAAATACATTCAAATAGAACGCGATTATTTTTAATTGGAATAATATTACACAGTATTTTGTTTTTATTATTTTTTATCAAATAAATGCAGCCTTGGTGAGCAAAAGAAACTTCTCTCAAAAACATTTTAAAAATCTTACCAACCCCAAGCATTTGAATGAATTGTTTCTCTGGAGTGACATTATCTAATTTTTGTTGTCGATATACTTGTAACAGAGATGTGTAATTTGTTTAATGTTGCCTGTTGGCCTTTGTGCCTCTAGCAGCATTATGCGTCATTATATTGGCACGCTATTGATTTAGTAATTGCGGTTTATTTGATGCAGTTGCCTCATGGTTCATCTCCCCTCTGCTGTCTGGTCTCATGTCTGGTCTGCTTTTCTTCATCATCAGATATTTCATTCTTAACAAGGTGAGTCATGGGTCGACTATTAAACCTGTCTTTCATCACCTTATTTCAGTGATCTCGCTTCGACAAATTTTGACATCAAATTGGGAGGGAAAAAAACTGATCAAAGTGCTCAGACAGGCTTTAAGTGTTTTGCGCTTTTGATTCAGACATCCAATATAAACATCCAAAAGACATTCGCCCAGTCCTTCAGTATACCAGTCCATCACCGGTCCTTATAAGACCTCACATGTTCCCATTATATTTACTGTTTAACATGCATTCAGCTATTTCCAAGTAACTGTGCCTGTGGCTGTGTTTATATTGCATGACAATAGCTCATCTGTGATGGCACAGCAACCGCTGTACAGTCGACAGCAATTCATCTTTTAAATGTGTGCCTGGTGTAGACTCTGCTTCTGTAAACACTTAAATATTTAAGCCTTAAAGAGTTAGGAACAGCTAAATGCATTCTTACCTGTGGCCACGCAAGCACTTACTGTGGTTTAAAGGAACAGTTCACTTAGAAACGAAAATTCATCTTTTACTCTCCCAAAGCTGTGTGGCTTTCTGTCTTCAGTGAAAAACAGCAGGAGATGCTTAGCAGAACGTCCAAGCAGCTATTTTTTGTATAATGAACGTAAAAGGCAATATATACAGTAATGTCAATCTCCCAAAAGGATGACAAATTATAAAACAATAACAAAACATAAATGTTATCCATAGCTCTTGCATGCTATATTCCAAGTCTTCTGAAGCCATATAATTGCTTTGTGCCTGAATATACAGAAATTAGTGGTCAAATTGATTAATCGCGATAAAATAAAAGTTTGTGTTTACAGAATATATGTGTGTATGGTGTACTGTATATGTATTAAAGAAATATTTACATGTGTTTTTTTATGTATGTTACACTGAACGTTTTCTGCTAGGCAAAGCTCTAAAATAGACCGTTTTTTTTTGTCATTTTGGAGCTTAACCCAGCTTTCACTTTGTGGAAAAGAGCAGCTTGGACATTCTGCCTAATATCTCTTTTTGTGTTTCATAATTAAAACAGGGTTGGAATGATATGAGGATGAATAAATGATAATCGAATGTTATTTTGGGGGGTAAACGATCCCTTTAAGAGAGTATTTAACCTAAATCAGTGTTGTTACTGCTAAAACTTAAAAGAAAATCAGAAATATTGCCTTAGTAACTAATTGAATTAAAATAAAGCTGAAGTACTAAAATGACTAAAAAGAAAAAAAAGCTGAACAGCAATATTAAAAATTTGAATAAAATTGAACACAAAATCACTAAAACTTTGAAATTAAAATGAACACTGGAAATATAAAAATAAAAGCTCATTCAAAATATTAATAAATACTATAATTATATATAAATAAATCTAAAATAACACTGATGATATGTGCTATGGCTAAATTATAACTAACAATCTGCAAAATATTGCATTTACTAAAGAATAAATGTAACATTGGATGTGTTTTGTCCTTATTCATGACGTCTTTGTGGTATATACAGTACAGAGTTTAAACTCTTTCTGTGATCTGTCCATTACAGGATGACCCTGTTCCCAATGGTCTCCGTGCTTTGCCCCTCTTCTATGCGTCAACCATCGGAATAAACACATTCTCCATCATGTACACTGGAGCTCCCTGTAAGACTATTTTGAATTGATAACACATTCAGCCAAGAGACGTCCTTGATCAGACACGAGTTTGTTGTCACTGAATAAGTGTCATTGAATAGGCCATGTGTACAATATTGTTTTATGTGTTTCCATCTAAAATACCTTTTGTTTCAAGATAAATTCACTGGATTGTTAAAAGTGTATTTATGTGTGTGAGTGTGTCACGCTCTTTCTTTATTGTGCAGTACTGGGCTTGGAGATGCTCCCCGTCTGGGCTATTGCCCTCATTACCTTGGCTGGTGCTCTGGTATGTGCCGGTCTGGTCTGGATTTTGGTTTGCCCCTGGATGAGAAGGAAAATAGCAAGTACGTACTGTCCTTTTCCCTCCCGCAGACTCGTGACTTTAGGGGTTATTAATGTCTGCATTAGATCTCTGTCTAACGTTTATCCTAAATTTTCTATTTCTTTTTCCAATAAGGAATCAATTATCTGAGGACAGTTGTGATTACTAACTCAATTTGCAGAAATTGTGTGATCCATGTGTTTTTGCACTTGACATCTGGCCATTAAGTTAAATGTTATTTCTAATCTAGCTTTGGAAAAAAATCAAAGATGTGACTCAGCATGAGGCATCTTCACCAGCTCAGGAGGGGAAGGATTTGCCTAACATCTGCTGCTCTGCTCTGCTGGGGCGCTCTGTAATGTAAAGGCTATCTTTTGCTGGCTCTGGCTTGTGGGCCCATGTTGTGTTCGACTGACGCTGAGAGAAATGAAAAGCAAATAAACTGAAGCTGTTTATTTGAGAACATCACTGTTTTTTCAGATGAGTCTCACAGACCTTGTGCAGTCGATGCACCTTTCTTAGTGCAAGATTGGCTGCCCACGTGTTTTGATTGAGAGAAGTGTCTTAATGAAATGAATCACTAATGGAATGAAATGTTAAAGCACTGCTTTCACTCACGGATCAGCGCTTTAAATTGTTGCATGCTTTATTAAATTTGTTTTCAGATCAAGGGTCTACTTCATTGTGCGGTTTCCCATGGGAGACGGTACAGTTGTAGGAATCTGATTTATTTATTTGGCTTTTAGGCTATTGAGAAGGGTCAGTTCTATGAGTAAAGCTGAAATTAGCATTAAATATGTGGGGCACTAATTTAAAGTGCTTGTTGTTGTTCATTATCTCTGCTCGATTTAAAAGAGCCAGTTGTAATCGTACTGATATCACAGTTTTTCACGCATGGATTATCCATGTTTATTAGTGATTATGTTTGCTTGATTATATTATTCTCACTGTAATCTTTTTAATGCTGCTTTTAATTTTCAGCTTTTCACCAGTTTCACAAAGCTTGCCAACTTCCCCTCATCTTGGCAAATAACGTTTATGTTGATTAGGGATGCACTGATATGAAAATTTTAGCCTATACCAATAAGTGAAAATTCTGTATTTTGTTCAAAAGGCCACTACCATTCCATGTTTGGGGTAGTGTTTTTTTTTTTCTTGTAGAAAGAAATTAATACTATTATTCAGCGAGGATGCATTAAATTGATTAAAAATGAAAGTAAAGACATTTGTAATGCTACAAAAGATTTTTATATAGCATTAATACCGGGTTTTTTTTTTTTTTTTTTTTTTTTTTTTTTTTTTTCATGTTTTTCTTTTTTGGAAAGACTATTGGAGTACCAAAAAAAAAAAAACATTTTTAAATATTAAAAAAATTTTTTTATAACAATAATACCGGGTTTTTTTTTTTTTTTTTTTTTTTTTTTTTTTTACAACTTTCTACTCATCAAAAAACCCTAAAAAAAATCAATTCACAGTTTCCACCAAAATATTATTAAGCAGCACCACTGTTTTCAACAAAATGATAAAATATAAAATGTTTGATCACATGTTTGATGAGCATCAAATCAGCATACTAGAATGATTTCTGAAGGGTCATGTGACACTGAAGAATGGAGTAATGATGCTGAAAATGCAGATTTGCATCACAGGAATAAATTACATTTGATAATATATTCAAATAAAAAACGGTTATTTAAAATTTTTATATTTTACAATATTACGGTTTTACTGTACTTTTAATCAAGTAAATGCAGCCTTGATGAGCATTAAAATGCTTCTTAAAAGCATTGAAAATCTTGCCCAAAAGACCCCAAACTATTGAACTGTAGTTTAAATTTAAAATTAAACCCTAAAAACTAAAATTGAGGTGCATTAGTTTATTGTATCAAAATTAATAAAAAAAATTTAAGGATAACATTATAATGTCCAATATGAAATTTATATTTAATTTGCTAAAGATTAGATTTAAAAGTGTTATTACATTTTATTGCTTTTAAAGATTAACTTTGAGACCATTAGATTACTGCAAAGGTAAAATAATGTAAAAATGTAAAGAATACTGGAAATAAGATGATGCACAATTAAATATCCAATATGGACTGATATAACAAAAAAATATATATAATCAAATATTGGCCAATAACCAATATGATACTGAAATATCATGCATCCCTATTGTTGATATCTAATATATGACTTTCAATTCCATGGTTTCCTACTTTTTTTCCCCAAAACAGGTCGGCTGAAGAAAGAGCATGCTCTTTCCCGCATCTCTGATGAGAGTTTGGATAAAATCCCTGAGGAGGAAGAGGAAGCCCCCGTGTTTAAAGAGCTTCCAGGTGCAAAAAGCAGCAACGATGCTGTGCTGCCCCTGACAGAGGAGTCCACAGGAGAGCTGAACAGCCTGGCTAATGGAGGCACCGTCCTGCCCAACGGCAGAGTGTATGGTACGTTAAAGGACTTGTTTTGTTTTAAATGGATACCATCTGACCAGAATGTCCTACGCTGACCTCATGTGTTTATTTAATTTTTTTCTATCAGGTCGCACTAACTCCATGACCAACGGCTGCCTTAAGTCACCCGTGTCCAATGGGGGCTTCAGCTTTGACGGACACATGCGCAGTGACGGCCAGGTCTATCACACCGTTCACAAGGATTCTGGTCTCTACAAGGACCTACTACACAAGATCCACCTGGGCCGCCTGGAAGACGAGCGCAGCAGCTCACGTCCCGACAACAGCTACCGTCACCTCCGCCGCAACAACAGCTATACATGTTACACAGCAGCCATCTGTGGCATGCCGGTGCAGCCCCTGATGCGGTCGGAGTCCAGCGCCCCTCCTCCAGAGGACAGCGAGAAGCTAGTGGGCGACACTGTCTTCTATTCAAAGAAGCGATTGCGCTATGACAGCTATTCCAGCTACTGTAACGCGGTTGCAGAGGCTGAGATTGAAGCGGATGAAGGTGACGTGGATGTGAAGTTGGCAGTAGATCAAAGGGAGCCCCGGGCCCCTGCTGAAGCGGTGCTGGAGGACTGCGTTGATGAGGACAAGGAGGAGAAGGACAAGCCGCAAGTCTTCCTGCTCTTCCACTTCCTGCAAATCCTCACCGCCTGTTTCGGATCGTTTGCGCATGGTGGGAATGATGTCAGGTATGCCACTTTATTTGTTCGTCTTTGTTTGTTTCTAAACCTAGATTCTTTTTCCTATGACAGGTGTTTTTTTATGTGCAAGTGTTTAAGTATGCTTTTGAGAACCTTTAGAATTTTCTCTTTTTTTTTTTAGCATTTTCACTTTTTAGCATGCTTTGTAATTATCGAGTTTAGAATAAGACATACTGTATTATTTGCAGCATTTTTTCACATTCCACAGCATTAGTGTGTCCTGAGAACAAGCCCTCAGTTCAGTGCCACGGATCTGGTTCACGGCTCTAGAGATGATTTGGCACATAACCAGACTTCTAAGACTGTTAAGACCAAAGCGAGATGTGGCCAATAGTTTAGGCTAACTTCAGCTGCTTAATGCTTTAACAGTTAAAATCTTTAAATTGGTTTTGTTGGTGACATAATTTGATTATTTTTGATTATTATTTATATTTTGTGTGAAGTGTAAACAAAATTCTAAATTCTCCCTCAGAAAAAAAATATATTAAAGCTGTCACTGGGGCAGTACCTTTTCAAAACGTACAAATATAGACCATATGTACCAATATGTGTTATGTACTTTTAGTTAGGGCTGCACGATTAATCAAATGCGATTGTCATGTGCATTTTGTTAGTGAAGCCGGTTCTGTAATCAGCAGGAAATCATCATCACGTGCTTTCAGATGGAGCAGCATTTACTACACAGAGCCTTAGTTCACTGACAAGTTACGCAAAAAAATCGCAGACAGTTTTATTGCACGATTATGAAATCGAAGAAATCGTTCGCGATAATGACAGCTGTTTGCGTAGCTTCTCAGTGAACTACGGCTCTTTGAAGTAAATGCTGCTCCATCTGAAAGCATGTGAAAATACCACATTTAATAACATATTTTTACTCCAAACTCACTTCATAACATCAGTCGAGTGTTTGAAATAAATCCTTCTGTGAGATGATGTGGCTTCTTACACAGAATAAGGCACGCAAACATATTTCATAGTATTTAAGCAGTGATAAAGGCATTGCATTATAAATATACTTTATTTTTATGAAAATTATAATAATAATAACTCCGATAAACCATATTTTGTCATAATCGTGTTTATTAATCACGTTGAATCAATGGAAAGCAGTTAAATCTTCTGTTTATCCAGCTAGCACTAGGCATTTCCTAGGTTTCTTCTGCGGGCGTATTTGGAGTTTCAGCGCGAGAGCGCCCTCTGGCCTTTGGATGGAGATTTACTGCTGATCACAGAACCGTGCTTCACTGAAAGATATGCATGACAATCGCAGCTTCTGTTGAATCGCGATTTCGATTCAATTTCGATTTATCGTGCAGCCCTACTTTTAGTGATTAACAGATTTATTGATTCTCTGTTCAGAATCAACATTTTACCCCGTTAACAAACCCATCCCAAACTAATCCCCAACTACAGCTTTAAGGTCACAACTTGGCAATAATTAAATACAATTAAAACATCCATCAGTATATAATGATGAGAAAATTAATTAAATAAATAAAATGAACAGATGAATTCCGATCTATAACACCTCACATTTACACTGTAACAATCAGTATATTTCTCACAAACAGCTATTACTGTCCCATTTCCAAATAGGTTAAGTACTTGGAACATTTTTTATAGTATAGGTTTAGCTTGTCCGTCTGCTTATAAGACATGTTGTCGAATGCAACCACTCTAGCTAGTTCTACTACTCATTCCTGAAAGGAAGGGGCATCCTCTGCTCCTGAGGGCATTTCCAGGATTTGGACCCAGGATTTTGTGTGTTTGTCTCTTATTTCGTTGTCTGTCCACCTGCTAATATGTACATTTAATGTACTTATATGCATCCTTTAGGGGTAAATAAGGTACAAATGAGTGCCTTTTAAAGGGTACTGCCCCAGTGACAGCTTTTTTCTGAGAGAATGTGACCTCTCCACTGTCAGATCAATACAAAATTAAATAATTATTTAATAAATGTAAATTATTGTGTTATTAATAAATAATAGTATTCATATTTTATATTTTATAATAATATTTCTTTTTCATTTTCTTTTTCTTTTTCAAATATTTTTCATTTTGAATAAATTAAATTAATTAATTTAGGGCAAAGTCATTGTCTGATTTATACACTCAAAAGTTTGGGGTCAGTAAGATGTATTTTTTTAAAGAAAGAAATTAATGCTTTTATTCAAAAAAGTTGCATTAAATTGATCAAAAGTGGCAGTAAAGACAAAAGATTTCCATTTTAAATAAATGCTGTTCTTTTCAACTATTCTTTTTTTTTTAAATTTAAGAATCCTGAAAAAATTGATCATGATTTTCACAAGAATATTAAAGTGCACAACTGTTTTCAACACTGATAAAAATAAGAAAGGGTTCTCAAGCATCAAATCAGAATATTAGAATGATTTCTGAAGAATCATGTGACACTGAAGACAGGAGTGAAACTTCAGCTTTGCCATCAGAGGAAGTTGTCTTTTCATAATCATGATACATTTTGGGGTGAAGTTAAAGTGATATGTTGATTTAAAGACCACATGGTTCATCACTAGTATACACTTTATATCATAACCTTATTGTAGTCACTTCTCCTGTGAACATGCTTGTTTTTATCTTTTCTGCAGTAATGCAATTGGTCCTTTGGTGGCCCTGTGGATGATTTACGACCAGGGTGGGGTGATGCAGGATGCGGCCACACCGGTCTGGCTGCTATTATATGGCGGCATCGGAATCTGTGCTGGACTGTGGGTTTGGGGTCGACGTGTCATTCAAACGATGGGCAAAGACCTCACACCCATCACCCCCTCCAGGTGAGATCAGCCTATTGGTGGAGAGCATGTTGTTTGTGCATGATAATTGATGCATGTGCTCCTGTTGCATGCAGATGTGATGATTAATCCACAGTAAGAAGTCTTCTTAAGCCCAATGCACATGTACACTGTACAATTTTAGCAATAATTGTGAATCTCACTGGCATTATATCATTCAATCTAACAAGCAGCAATTGAAAAAGCCAGAAAAATTGCACAGTGTACAGTGGGCTTAGGATAAGTGGCCTTTTACTGTAAACCCATGACAAAAACACACACAATTTTTCTCCTTCTTGTTTATTTCTGACAATACAAAAGGTGTCTTTCTTTTCCTGTAGCAAGTGGAAAATTGTAGAAGTGGAGGACTGGTTTCTGGTGGAAAAACTGCCAGATCTGAAACTTTCAACTTGGTCCTACACCAGTGCTGAGGTGTAATTGTAGACTACAGAAATGGAGCATGTGCTTTGGCAGCAGGGTTATAACAGTTTATCTGATATTGAAATCTTGCTAGATTAGTTCAGTTTATCGGCTTTTCTCCTCTCTCGTTTGGGTGCTTGCCCTCAATCCCCGTTTGTATTACCACCACAAATCGGGTTAAATATCACCGTAGAATGACCTTAATTTTAAATTTTAGCACACTTTAGAATAAAGGCAGTTTATAGAGACCGGTCACTGTTTTGCACTCTCAGCTCAGAACTGCCTGGGTTTGCTAAATTTAGCAAGACACTTGTGCACATGGCCTCAGCGACCTTGCGTTCTCTTAGTAACAAGACAAACTGTCAAAAACAAATGAGCTTGAGTTGATAAACAGAACAAAGGCTTTCCACCCTATAAAAAGAACTCTCGTCATTTGTTCTGAGAAAGCAAGCTGCAGATCATTTTTTTTAGGGATGCTTGTTAGGAAATCATGATTACTAAACACTGATACACTGAAGGTAACTGGACACAACTCAAAAATCCAAAACCAAAATTATTTTAAATGAGCCTTTGAAATAACCAAGCAAATGATTTTAGTGTGATATGTTTCTGTTGATGTCTAAGCTCCAAAATTGTATAATTCTTTTTAAATATTAAACTTATATTGAAATTATTATAATAGTGAATTATTGTTTATCAATGTGAATCTCACCCCACACAGACTTTTAAGTGGGAACATGACTTTTTTTTTTACTGTCAATAATTAATTCATCATCACATGTGATGTACTTTCTCTAGATTCTATTAAACCTGGCACAGTTTGTTTTCCTTATAATGTATATGTAAATAGATGGTAAAGTAACAGATGCAGTTGAAGTTGTGCAAAAAATCTTATTGGCTTACATTGAACTATAACTACCCAGAACAATGTATTATAGTGGCAAATTTTAATCAGAAAATTTAAAATTATAGTAAAAGTTTAAAAAAAACCCTCAAACTTTAACAAAAATTAAAAATCATGAAAGTTAATTGGATTGTTATTATTTCAAATTTTTTCTAAAGAGACTTTTAACAAGATTTAACAAAAATAATTATATGAAAATGATTTTTATTTACTGGAACAATTTGCAATTTCTCGATGTGTGACAGAACAGATTTCGCACTGAAGGGTCACTCTACAATCCTACATGTCAATCAGTCTATACTAAGTAAGTGTGCTGCATCAGGTGGCCATGTTCCCAGTCACATGCCCTCATGTAGCGCACTGAAATAACAATCGACATGACCTCTGTATTTTTTGGCTGATCTGCAGTATACGGTATATATCTCAGCATTTTGTATTTGGATTAAACAAACAAATGAAGTGAATGTAACCATGTAGGCATATATTATGTGTAAAAAAGGGTTAAAATCACATTACATTCTAACATTGTTACATTGCAATCTAAAAAAAAATAATGCTTTTAAAGCAGAAGTTAAATTTACTTAAACTAAAAATGAAAATAACAAAAAAGCACAGACTAATTGAGTAAAAAGGCTATTTTGATTTCCCCATTAGAGTCACTTTACAGTTAGTGCTATCAGACAAATACACTTGTAGGTTTAAAATTCTACATATGCCACATTTATTGTCCAACTACAAATATTTTAGTCAGAGTTATTGCGCTCCTATTTCATTGAGCTCCGTCTGTTTGGCGCGCATGCGCACAGCAGCACTCGTTCACTGAAATCTGTGAAGTTTAGCGGAGAATCACAAAAGCTCATGCACTTCTGACTGCAAAATGGAAATATTTCCATGGCTTTCTAACATTTACAGATGGAGAATATACCTGTGAAATGTAAGTTATGCATTATGAAAACAGCACATCTCAGACACATGAAACCGTGCGAGTAGCGTCTCTGTCAGCAGCACACGCAGTCTTTCTGTCAAGAGCATCTGACGAGCCGAGCCGCTTTAAACTCAAACTATAAACTATAGGCTACTATATCTTACCAGTTTTTTAAAAGCCCTTCATATAAGCTTGTCGCATGTTCAGAACAAATTGTATTATGCACTTTCTCCGCAGCAGCTCAGTCTGTGTCCTCCCTAGATAATTTTTCAAATGTGCTCGTATCAAACTACTGTATATCGATATTAACGGTATTGCTTCTTACCGTATCGCTTATCAAAATATATCGATGTATTGTACAAACTCGATATACCGCCCAGCTCTAAAACTGGCTTTTTAGATGGGTTTGCATGATTTAGTGGAAGGTTTGTCTGCCTGTTTGTGCACAGTTTATATATTACTCGCATGTTCATGATGTCTGGGTGTGTTTTAAGATGCCACTGGAGAGTTTTTCAGCACAATCACCATGTTTCCACCTGCATGCATGTACACATGTCTACCCTGTGATACACACTCACACGCACATACTGACACGCTTAATAGGCACAGAACTTAAGAAAACCTGTCAACCTTGTTTTTGTGTTACTGCACCACCTTCATCTCCTTGTGGACTTTTTGCATGCCTGTTAAAATGTTTCCACTCCTCCAGACCGGCATGCTGTACGTGCACCAGCCTCTCTCAATGGCATGCATTGTCATCACTGGTTGAACTACAGGTGTAACTGTATAAAGTTGTGTTTTGTTGCCCTCCCCCCCACAGTGGATTCACTATTGAGCTGGCCTCAGCGATCACTGTTGTTTTGGCCTCCAATATCGGACTTCCAATCAGTACGACACACTGCAAGGTAACTATCGGGTCAGAGCCCAGCTGGCCCCCTTAGGTTATTGTGTGCATGCCACCAGAGAGAGGAGGGAGCTGTCTGTTTTTACAGGGAACAAGAGGTGCCCACATCAGCTTTCAGCAAATGGTGCTATTTGTTATTGATAAATAATGACATCGATGCACAACAACTTGACACTTTCCACAGATAGGGTGCTGTCCTATTACAATAAACAGACACATCTCGTGTTCTACTCTATTGTTTCTCATAGAGTCAAATGTCTGACAGGTATTTTGATGTGTCCTGTCTTGCTGGTCTCCTTGCCTAGACCTTGACTGTAATCAACAATTCAACTCATACAAACAAATGATATAATTTTATAATTATAAATTAATTGTTGAAAAATCGTAATTGCTACAAAAATGTTTAGACAAGTAAACAGTCTCTCATTAATTTTCTAAATTTTTGTTGTTGTCCAGCTCAACCACTCTATCTAGTTACCAAAGTTAAGGTATAAGAATTTTAAGTTAAGTAATTAAGTAGAATTTTTCAATATTTCAGTTTATGTAAAAAAAGAAAAAAGTTTTTTTTTAAAAGTTTATTAATAACCATTGTTGTTATTTGAACTAAAACTTTTCAAAAAGTATTTTTTGTTAATTGAAATAAAGCTGAAATAAATAAGTATTAGATTAAAAAAAAAAAGAGAAATGGTGCCTTGGCAAATAACTGAAATATATATTTAAGTTGAAACTAAAACTAAAGTAAAAATGAAAGGTAAATATGAAAAAAAAAATCTAGACGTGCATAAAAAATTGACTTAAACTAAAAAATATTAATAATTTTATATTATTTTGAAATGTTAAATTTCTATTTAATGAAGTTAAATATAGAATTATTACATAATATTAGTTAAATAATTAATTTCTATTGTTAAAAAATAGGGGAATCACATAAATCAGGTTTATTTTGTTAGATATAATTTAGACAAAATTAACATTTAAAAAAAATCCAAACCTCACATAACAAATAGAAAACAAAGCATATCATTAAACAAAAGCTGCTTAAAGTGCATGCACAACATTTCCCTTTTTTCTGAAATTGATAATGACATTTGATGTTGTTTTTTTAATCAAGATTACTCTGGCAGGCATCCTTGATTTATCTGTTCTCAGACATCCAGTTACTGAAGTCATTGGCATTGTCACTGTTTCTGATGGTCATAATGCAACTTGACTGCACACTGATGTCAATACTGGGACAATGAATGCTCCCATCAAGGCTAAGACAGCACTCTCAAACCCTTTAGAAATTAAGAAGAGCGCTCCCTTCTCTTCTCTCAGACGTGGCCTTGGTGCATACAGGATGAAATAACTCCTCTCTTCACAGATCTGTGTTTAAGTGATGCTTCACAACATCATCTTCGTCCCCCTCCTCATCTATCTCATAGCATGTAGCTGTGTATTTGTCCGCGTTTGCTCGGGCCACTGGTGTCTTGCTCCATGCTATGTGTGTCTCTTACGTTTTATCTGTTGTGTTTGTCTTTGTCTTGTCATTTGTCGTCTTTTCACAGTGGATTTTGCATTGAAGTAATGAGCGCTCTAACAGTACTCGTTGCCTCAAATGTGGGCGTTCCTATAAGCTCCACGCACTGCAAGGTATTGGTATAGTAGTGAAGCTTTGGTAGTGCTAAACTCCACTCCCATAGCTTCACTAGCGTAATCACCGAACAGCCAATCAGTGCTCACCTCTGCAAACATGTAACTCCATGATTGCAGCTTTGATTCACTTATATGATTCATTCTTTTTTTCATCTGCTTAGTTGTTTTAAAGATAATGCATTAATTGAAGTCAGTATGCTTTTAAAAGGTACTGTGTAGTGCATACATTGTAGTCCAGACGCTAAACATGTTAACCAAACCATGCCAACTGCAGTGATTCCATTTAAAAGTAGGTAATTTCTCATCATTAGCGTTGGTCAACAGCCTGAACTGTTCACATTAACCTAAAACTTGCAAGAAATAAGTCCAGCAACCTCATCCAGTCAGAAATCAATACAAAAGCCTGTTTACTTTTTGTCGCTACACATTCCTGGAGCACAAATGAGCTGACCTCTATTTATTCTCTATTCTCTTGCATGTCCTTTGTGATGTTTTTGTTAGGGATGCGCCACAGCCTGAACTGTTCACATTAACCTAAAACTTGCAAGAAATAAGTCCAGCAACCTCATCCAGTCAGAAATCAATACAAAAGCCTGTTTACTTTTTGTCGCTACACATTCCTGGAGCACAAATGAGCTGACCTCTATTTATTCTCTATTCTCTTGCATGTCCTTTGTGATGTTTTTGTTAGGGATGCGCCGATCCGATATTCATATCGGGTATCGGCTCCGATAGTGCCATTTTTCTCGGATCGGGAATCGGTCCGAGAGAGCCGATCCAAATCCGAGATTTTTTTTTTTTTTCGATTGTGCGAATTATTCTGTGTTACTTCTGAAGCCATACGATAGCTTAATGTGAGCTACATGTGAATATTTAAGTCCTTACATTAAAGTTCACACAAACTCTTTTCTCTGCTGTGGCTGTCAGTCATTCGTTCAGCCTTTAAACCATGGTCGCGTTCGGTTACAGCAGTCAGCTCGGTAAAGCTCTCTCCAAGATCATTCTGTGTTCCCATTATACTTGATTTGTAAATACATGTCTATGATTTTGCAAAAATGACTTTATCTTCTTGCTGGAGTTTAATGTTGTTTTGTTACTTGCTACCGGGTGTCTGTGAGAACAAAACATGGGTGTAGAAAAGACTCAATTGTTTTTTAACGTGCACAGTAACTGAAATTTAAAACTGTTAAAAGAAAGGCTCAATAACTGTTGCACAGATATAATACACTACGCATCAATTTCTCTTCCCTTTGTGCTTTGCACTTTTTAACATGAAGCGCTTCGTGCTCATAGACTGTCAACCCTCTACATTGCGAGTAAATCACTGGTCCTTGGCAGGTCTTACAGTTTGGAAAATAAAACCTCAGATGAACAACAACACATGACATAGCACACCGTGTCATTATTTATTTAACAAAAATATAGCCAAAATGGAAAAGCCATGTGTGACAAAGTTAGGACACCCTTACTGTTAACACAGGAATTAAGAGGGTAAGTAGCAGTCAGGCTCTTCTAATCAAATACATCTGATTAACTGATCATCAGCAAGAGTGTGCACCTCTATAAAAG